CTCGTTCATCATTTTCAAATTCTGAAAGTCAGATTCATATGAGTTCTTTATATACCAAGAATGCCTGTGAAAGTCTCGTCGCATGTGATTAAAAAACTGTACAATGTAGAATGTAGAGAGTGTTGATTAAGTACTAAATACGTTTTGCTTTAATTGAGTCAGATTGAGTGTTCATTTTAGGGTTTTATCTTGGATGAAGAGCATTTCGTAGATTTAGCCTGCGTAGCTTGGCGATTTTAAGCAAAGCCTTAATGAGCGGCGAAGCCGCGAGGAGCCTGGGAGATAGACAACTACTCAGACGCGTGTCCACAATCAGAAGATTTCCCCTCTCACCCCTGCTCGGGAATTTTAAATCTCTGTCTGTACTGTTAATGTTACTACAAATAGACGCCCTTTGAGAGTCTGGGTAGCACAGACGACGCCCGTCTCGTTTCGATTTGTTGCTGGTTGCTAAGCATGGAAGATCATGGAATGTGTAAAAGACTATCTACTTTCAAAGTATTTCAGTCCTTTTGGCTACATCGTAGCTCTGTCCTATCTTCCAGCTTTAGTGATATTTGCTGGATACACGGGACATCTGAGAACCAGCGAACGTCGAACATTTCGCTGTCCTTCTTCTCCCGAATCTCGTGACGACTGTTTGAGGAAATATGACGAGCAGTATAACTCTCCTTTTCCACTCTATGGATTTGTCCTTTTATGTTTCGTTCCTCTTTTGGCTGTGTGCATCGCTTACTCCTGGTGCTTTGTTAAATCGCGAGTTGATGAGCTAGAAACCGCACTGAAAGCAAATCCAGAAAACCCTCGCCCTCGACCAACAGTGACAACTCGTCGAGTGTTTTATTCCTACTGTCTTCATCTGCTTGTCCGATGCATGTTAGGGATCTTGTTTACAGTGTTGCAGAACTGCGCGCTTTATTCAAAGGGCTTTCCTACAGAGTTTATCTGCGTTTCACCGACCGTAAAGCCTACAGTCAATTCCACAGTACTGAATACGACTAAACATGATGCCACAGCCAC